AGCGCCTCCCTGCCCGGCAGCGCCCGGCCCTGTTCGGGTCCCGGAGAGGAGCTCGGGGGACGAGAAGAGAACGTGGCGGAGCCCCCGGGTGCTCCTGGCTGGGGTGGAGAAGCCTGGCTGCTCGTTTCTCCTTAACTATGGAGTCATGACTCGGTCGCAGTGTTCGGGCAGATCGCAAAAGCTGCTGCATTTCCAGTCTCTGTTGAACAGGAGGAAGGAAGAGGGTGTGTGGGGAGCAAGGGAATTAAGAATTACAAAGATTGTGTGCATATGACATCACCGTGGCTGGACGTGGGTAATTTGTACTCTGGCTGTGCAGGGTTGTAACTGTGGACTCATGACACCGGCGTTCCTTGTCGCGTAGCGCTCGGTGTTCCCAATTTGCTTTCCCTGGATTCATGGGAATGTACGTGTGTGCCGCTCGGATTCCTTGCAGTTCCACCCGGAGCAGTGGTACCTCACAGACTGGCTCTGTAAGGCATCTCCTCCCGAGCCGGGAGAGCTGCAGGGCTGTGCTGCGGGAATTCCCGAGACATGTAACAGGTTCAGGGTGCTCCTGTCTGGCCGGGCGCTGCTGCAGCCGCACGGTGCAGTCTAGCGCCTCATGATATTCAAAACTTACTTTAATTAACAAACATCTTGCTGTTCCTCTTCGCAATCATAACCACACCTATGCGAAGTATATTCCCTTGGAAAAAGATAGGATGCCTGACATCTTTAATGTGCGGTGCATACAATAACAATAATCACTGTAATCCATACTCTTCTTGAACTTAAGAAATTATTTTTTTTTGCTGTCAGACTCGCTGCAGAAGAGTGTCAAGAGACCTTCAGAAATGGAATTATTAAACTTGCAGGGTTCTGCACAGCACCATATGGTGCAGCTGTTCCAGAAATGAGATGGAACAATCAGCCCCTTGGATCTCCTCTGAGACAGCTGTGCAGTGGTAGAAATTATGTTCACTGCCTAAGAGAAATAAACCTTTATTTTTGCAGGAAGATTATTACAGAACTCTCTCAACTCATTAGGGGAGGAGGAGCTAAACTCTCTAAAGATTCTAATAAGCCAAGCAAAAATGCCTAAGCTGAACAAATCTCCTCAGGAATAAGTGTTGTGTTTGTTTGAATCTTTAGTATGTGATCATGTCAACTGTGCTGAGTAACAGATTTAATTGTGAATTCATCCATATTTCAGGACTGGCCTTGAAGTAGAGAAGTATTTAATTTTTTTTTGAATTTGCAAGCCTGAATAAGAGTGCATAGTCCAAGAATAAGATAGTAGCTATCACAAATTTTACTTTTGTGGCTATGGAAACTTTAGTCTTGAGACAGGAGATAATCCTAAAATTAGAACTGCATAAGAAGTATATGTTTAAGATGATTTTAAAGATCACTTTTACGGTGGTATGTGGTTCACTATTGCCCTCCAAAGTTGATCTGCTGCAAGTGATAGATGATATTTGAAGTTTTCTGATTGATATAACTCTTTAGGGGTACAGAAAGTATCAAATTTTTATACCTTTATTAAAATAAAATTCTGAATAGTCAGTCTTAAAACTTCTTCTGTTAATTTTTGAATGTTACAAAGCACTCCCCGGATAGAATTGAAGCAGTTGACTTGAAAATGTAAAGCATGATTTGTGAAGTCTGAAATCAAGTGTTATGATACAGGCTTTATGAAGAAGTTAGAAGTGAGACAGTTATCTGTTTAATACCTTCTACAAAATAATAAATCTATAATAGACCAGATAGCAATGCTTATTCCTCTTAAACTCTAGGATGTAAAAGCTGTTGGCATACTCAAACCAAGCAAACAGCCTGCATGTTTCTGTGCAGTTGACTACTGGAAAGTATAAGTTTCCTTTGGGGGATAAAACATATCTCTGATTATTGTATAATGTCATAGGCTAGCTAAGATGCAAACTTAGTCTATAATGAGAACCTACTGACTGCCCTTTTCTTGAATCCTTCGGCAGGGAGAAAGCTGCAAGGAAAAAAGTCAAAATCATTTTGGCTATTTTTGTTCCATGTTCTTCAGTTCTAGGAGTTTCTAAGAAAACAGCTAAATATATCAGAAAGCTAGCATTGAAGTGGGACAGAGATGCTTCATTCCTTAAATTTCTACCTCTGCGTTGTTTGTTGTCCTAAAGTCTGTCTCAAGTACTTTTTGCGCTTGTTTTGCTAAAATTGAATGTTTTGGTTGTATCAGGAATGCAGAAATTACCAACTGAGCTTTGGACTTTTTATTTTGTGTTGTTTCATAGCTTTGTGTTGCTCTTTCATAGCAAGTGGAATGTGTTCCTCGCAGGTCTGTGCTCTTAAGTGAGGATTATTCTGTAGCTTCTCCAGCACTCTCCTTAACAGACACTGCTTTCCAGTCAGCACTGCTTAGATTGTCTGTATCAGATCAGAAAGAAACAAGAAAAGTCTCACTTTCTTAAAATGGGCAGATTATGATGTGGTATTTATGGTTGACAAAAAAGCAGTGATAGGTGGAATGGAGGTAAAACACATGGTAAAACTGAAAGTTTGATGTTTCAACAAAGGTTAATTCAAACAGGAAAGGTTTGTCAGATCCTCTACTGAGAGAGTATAAAGCATGACCTTGTATTTTATGGGTCTCAAGACCCTGAGCCGTAAACTGGTGCAAACTTTCTCTGAATGAGAAATAAGCCTGTATTTGTGGTTTGATATGCTAAGCCAAGATGGATTAAGTAAATGGAAATAAACATAGCTTTGAAAACAGAAGTTTCTTCCAAATAGGTTCATGACTATTGCTAATATTAAATATCAAAGTCTGCCATGAAAATAAAGCAGCTAGTTGACTTTTCAGCTGAGCATTAAGTGTTCCGTAATCAACAGTTCAACACAGTTTGAATTGACCAAAAAGGCTTTCCTATCTAGTTTTAGTAATGGTAGCTCTTTGGTCTTAGTGTGCCATTTGGGCTGTGGTGATTGGTTTGGTGTTTGGTTGTTTGGGTTTCCCCCAACCAGTGAGTGTCTGCTAATCTTTATTTTGGGCTTTCCTTTTTTTTTTTTCCTGAGATTTTTTTTTTCTGGTTATTTGAGGGAAGACCTTAGGGCTGACACTTTCTTGCTAGGTCCCTATGTTTAAACATAGATCTACTTCTTCAAAAATTCTTTGATCCTGGATAAAACTAGAACGAGACTTTGCTTGGCAGATGTTTCTCACTTGCACTGGGAAACATCTCCCTGCACTGCTGCTGGTTGCTGAGTTTGAGCAGAGGTTTGCCTGATTCTCTCAAACCAAGGGGAAGAGTGTTGCCCTACTGAAGTGGTAGGACAAAGTGAGCTGGTACCCTTACCCGAATAACTGGGGGATGGAGAATGACGAGGGAAAAGACAGTCAGGGATAAGAGGGAACAGCACATGGGATCAGGAGAGGAGCTGAGTGGGATGTGATCATCACACACAGGTTAGATGTGAAGGGGACTTTGAAGAGGAGAATTGATAGAGATGTAGTAAGTGAGGTTTACCTAGCTTGAAAGCTTCAGGTTGCCTGTATGCTGCAGTTATTAAACAGTGTTGAAGATGAACAGATATTTTGATATATTGATAGTCTGTGATCTGGTTGTCTATAACAGCTTGTCTATAAACCTCCTTGCACAAGGTCTAAATACTGTTCATTTGTTTCTCTTATATAATTTCAGCTTATTTCAGGCATGTGGGTGGAGGTTTTTTCCTTTTTTTTTTTTTTTTTAGTTCAGGGTTTTTTTGTTGTTGGGTGTTTTTTAAATCCTAGTTAAAATGTTAGTTAAGTTAAAACGCTTTGGTGCAAAGAATCAGC